TGAAAAAAAATGATAAACGACGTACCTTTTATTTTTGACCAACTTTGAATGTGGATTTAACGTTCGTTCAATTTTAAAAACACTTTTTATTTTTATTTATTTGAAAAATTTAATATTAATCCAAATTTTTTAAGAAAAAAGTCTTAATTTTTTAATCAGCTGTTTTTCCTTTTTCACATTTCAATTTTTTTAACATGCCATTATTATCGTTTATTAATTTGATAATGCTTATATTTTAATTTAATAGATTACATAAGAAAGGATATTATTATTTCATCATCCTCATCTGATTCTGAAAATTCAAAATCAAATGAATTACCATTACAATGGCCCAAATATGGTAAATGCTTTACAGTAACATCCTATTTTGAAGGAACTAATTCAATACTTACCAAATGTGAAATGTGCCCAAAAAGCATTATATCAGTTTCAAAATCTTCAAGTTCCGATTTAAAAGTTCATTTGATTGTAATATTAATTATTTTATATAATATAACTAAGTAAAATCATTAAATTCGAAGAAAAAATGTATTTGGGCTACTTAAACCCAACAATAACGTTAGCAATTTTAAAATTAAAAAAAATTAGTGACCTAAAATATGGTCAACCATTGATAAACGCTGTATAAAATGGGATTATTAAAAGGTATTAAACCTATCACTATCAAATTAAGATTTAAACATATATATGAAGATCAATTGTTCCTTTTGCGATTATACATCCAGTATTCAGCTTCAATGGCCATGGATAAAACTTCCACAGAACGAATCTAAAATTAACTTATAGCATTATTGAAAAAATGCATTGAAAACCCTAGAAATGATAATGCAAGAACTGTTAATTTCAAGATATACTTTTTTGACAGAAGTAGAGGAAGGATTGGAGGAGGATAACTTATCTCAATTTTTTGAAACAAATGACAAAACAATAAATGTTTTAAAATTCCCAACGTTAAAAGAGTTGTTTAAGTATCATACTGCAATCCCCTCATCTGCCCCTGTAGAGCACGTTTTTAGTATATCTAATGCCATATTAACTGCCAAGCGTTCCTGTCTATCAGATGAAAATTTTGCAAAACAATTGTTATTATAAATTAATAAGAAAAATTTTTTATAAATAAAAATATCTTTTTATTTGCTATATTATATTGTATTTATAATTATATTTTCAAAATAAAAATATATTGTGTTGAAAAATATTATTTAATTAAATCTTAAAAAAAATTCATCATAAAATTTTGAATGAACGTGAATGCGTTCCTTTTTTTGAAAGTGAACATGAATGTGAACGCATTCCATTTTTGACAATAAATGTTGAACTTGTTCGATTTTTTTTAGAAATGTTTACAGTACTATAATTTAATAACCAATTTCTAAAAATTATATATATAACATTTTAAAAAAAATTGTGTAAATACTATGCAAGACATCAAATTTTAATATAGCTAGCAAACATGTGAAACAATTTCAAATAACTCATTGTGTGTGCTTTTAATCTCTATTGATTTTGGAAGATATTTTGAAGGATCAGCCATCTGATATGACTAAATGAGATATAAGGGATTGGAGGCACTTCTTGATATATGACTAAATGAGATATAAGAGATTGGAGGTACTTCTTGATACTCTGCTAAAAAATATCATAATATTTTAACTTAATAGAACTATAATCTATATAACTGGTTCTATATCATCTATAATCTTTCCAACAATTCTACAGGCCAGGCATGGGTAGGTGAATATTTTAAGGATTAGGTGAGCAGGCATATTTAAAAATATTTAAAGCAGGGTTGGCATGTCGGTCAATTGACCGGTCAAATTCGGTCAATTGACTGGTCAATTGACGGAGGAGTATTTGACTGGTCAAATACGGTCAAATACTCTAAAATATTAATGGCGAATAAATATTTTGATATAATTAACTAGTATGCATTAAAAGCATGTTTATCAATCTTATTATTTTTTTATTAAAATATAAATATGTAATTTTTCTAAATATAGTAATATTTTTAGTTATTTTTTTGCCTAATCATTGCCGTTTCTCGCCTTCTTTATTTTTTTCAATTCATATTTCTTAAAAAAAATAAAAATACCCGATTTATTATAATCATAATATAATTTTTTCATTCTTATTTTTTAATAAATTTAAATTTTATTTAATATTTAGCTGAGTATAAATTATATTAATTCTCATTTGTTTTACTTACACTTGCTATATTTGGTTTTTAAAATTAATTTTCATTTTAATTGTTCTGGTCAGATTTACGGAATATTATTCAATTCTGGTAAAAAGTTTATTATATTATATTTATAATATTAAGAAATTATTGGAATAATTGGTCGATAATTATAAAATAGTTAAGATTGATTAACTTTACAATAATCAAAATCATTTTTTGTTAAATTTTAATATATTAGGGATTATGGTCAAACCAAAGCATCATGTTTGGAAACATTTTCAAGAAGTACGCGATGGTAAATCAGTTAAAGCGGTGTGCAAGTTTTGCAAGATGTCCTATATCACCCACGTTGATAGAATGGTCAAACATTTATTAAGCAGCTGTACTATGTGCCCTGTAGTTCCAAAATATCAACCTCTACAAATATCACAAATGTGATTTGTAATACTTCTAAGTCTAACTCTAATGAAGAATTGGGTGAAATTAGTGAGAATGATTATCAAATGAACAATATTTTGTCTTGTGACTCAGGAGAATTTGATTCCCTTATTTCTAATCAATCTACAAGCAAGGCGATTAAATATAAATCTCAATCTTGTATAACCGGTTTCATAGATAGAATTAATCCTAAAGAAAAAAATGAGCTGGATCAATTGTTTGCAAAGGCTGTATATGCGAGCAATTTACCTTTCCACATCACTGAAAATCCCTACATCCAAGAATTTTTTAAAAAAATACGTCCTATTTACACATTACCCAGGAGAAGGCAGCTGGCTGGATATCTTCTAGACAAAGCGTCAGGTGATATGGAGGTGAGAGTTGCAGATATAATAGATAAAGCTCCTTACTTATCAATTGTATCAGATGGCTGGAGCAACATTAGAAACGAGAGTATTATTAATTTTATGGTGATGACGCCTGTTCCAGTGTTCTACAAATTTCTAAATACTGAGGAAAATCGCCATACGGCAGATTATATTGCCCAGGAATTTAAAAATGTAATTCATGAATTGAATCCGGTAAAAGTATATTCTTTAGTTACTGATAATGCCGCTAACATGAAAGCAGCCTGGAGAATTCTAAAATCTGAATCTATTTATAATCATATACAATGTTATGGTTGTGCAGCGCATACATTGCAGTTATTCTTTCACGATTTTGAACGATTGGACGCCTTCAGTGACCATATTTCAATAATTAAAAAAATTGTTAAATTTTTCAAGAATAAACACATACCAGCTGCAGTATTTTCCCGTAATAAGAATCTTCATGGCATACCATCTACATTAAGTACAATTAGCCAAACAAGATGGGCATCGTCAATAAAATGTATGGAGCAAATTCAAATATGCAAGAAAGCTCTAAAAGCATCAGTTGTTGAAGAAGCTGTTTGTGATATTTGTCCCATAGAAATTACCAATAATATATTAAACGAAGAATTTTGGACGAAAAATTTAAAATTTTTAGCTATACTCCAACCTTTAGCTATCTCATTGTTGAAAGTGCAAGGGGATAAATGTACTTTGGCCAACGAGATGCTTAATTTGGAAAAACACATAATACAATCATGCCATGATTCTATATTTTCTCCATCTCAAGAAAAAAAAATTAAGGTTATGTTTGAAAAGAGAAAAACTGATATAAATACATGTGCTCACAATGCTGCTTATTTATTGGACCCCCAATATCAAGGGGAGCATCTTACTAATACTGAATTTGATGAAGTATGTAATATAATACAAGAATTGGGTATTTTACAAGGTGGTGATAATCAAAATATTTTGAGTAATATAGTAAATTTCAGAAGCAAAAGCAGTATATTTAATAGCCATAATATGTGGAAAGTTGTAACTTCCATAAGAAACAATCAAATTTCGGCCTCAAGTTGGTGGAATGCATTTTGCCCACCTTGCCCATTAAGAGAAGTTGCTAATATTTTACTAACATTTCCTAGTTCGACTTCTTCTTCTGAAAGAAATTGGTCGGTTTGGGGCAATATTCACACGAAAAACAGAAATAGATTAAAGGCTTCTACAGCAGGAAAATTAGTAAGAGTGTATCATAATTTAAGATTGATTAAAAATATTAAAGAAAATAATGATATTGAATATGAATCAGAACAAGACTCTGCCACGGAGGGTGAAACATTGACTATAGAATGAATTAAAAAATATTATGATATTTATTATTATACATAGATTTATTATAATATTATATAAATGCAAAATAAAGTTAATATTGGTGTAAAAAACATTTATTTGAATTTGACCATATTTAACCGTATTTGACCATATTTGACCGGTCAAATATCGGTCAATTGACCGAATTGTATTTGACCGGTCAAATGCACAACCCTGATTTAAAGCAATGGGCTTGTTGTGGGTAGGTGATTTAAACTTTTTGTTAATGAACGAACAAGAACATTAAAAAATTCATTTTTTTGATAAGGTTTATAGCAGTGGTGTTATTAAACAGTTAATTTGGGTAAATTTATAATAAATCAAATGGTTTAACAATAATAGCACTATAATTTCAAATTAACTTACATAAATTATGCTAAATTTTATCAGTCATTTGGTATAAGTTATTTCTAGTTTACTATAATATAATGTATAAATATCAATTAATTACTATACTAAGCTGCTTATTCATGAATCTCATATTAAAAAACAAACCTAGCTTATTTTATGATTTTTTAAAAGGTTAAATAAATTGGGAGCTTTTATAGGGCCACCAAATTTACTTTTTCTAAGCTATAATATCAAAATATGGCTAAAAAATTTAATAAAAATATACCTTTTTAAAAGTATTCAATTTTTACCTGGAAACCATAGAATTAAACAGGTATCTAAAAGTTCTGATGAAATGGGACAAAATATTTTACTCAATTTTGCTTTTTTGGGTATAGGCAGATTAGGATTTTTAGTTAAAGATATAATAATTTCACTGCTATTAGGACCTGAAACTCGAATGATACTAACTCCACATTTTCCCCAACCAGATGAGAGAGCATATATGGTACTAAAAGTATGATTTAATTTTATTTTGTTGAGATGCCATTTAAAATTAATTATATGTCTAAGCTAAAAATATCTTAAATTAAATATAATATAATTCTTATATTACCATATATAATATGGGGTTTTGGCAAATAAAGTAATATCTTTTACATAGGGCGATTGACATCCTTTCATCACGTGTCCTCCTAAATCTGACACATATATAATTTATATAATTCTTTTTAAAATATAAATCTTATAAATTATTCTTAATTCGTATGGGTAAACTAAGTTATGAATAGTATAATATTTACTATATACCAGACATTATTATAATTAAATAAAAAAATTACGTTCGGATTTTCACGATAAATTGTAAAATATTAACCAAAAAAATATTGCCCTAATTGTAGTGTTGTTAAATTGCTGAATCCAGTCGGCTTAGTCATAAACCAAGCAAGGCTTGAGCCAAAAAACAATCTTAAATTTGAGAAAATCCATTAAGCCATTACTCGATGGGTCGGCCCGATTGGTCAGATCGCTGGTTCGGCTGCTGGGTCGACACACTGGATAGCTCGGTTGGGTCATATCGCTGGGTAGACCCGATGGGTCGACTTACTGGGTAGGCCCGATGGGTCCACTCACTGGGTAGGCCCGATGAGTCGACTGCTGTGTAGGCCCGATGGATGGATCAACTCAACACAATATATAGAAAACTAAACTTGTTTGTTTTAAACGGTTGATAGTTTTTTTTTATCTTTGGGTTTAGTACGAAATTTCTTGTACCATTATTTTGTAACTCCACGCGTAAAATGTAGAAATATTAAAAAAAATATATTCATATTTTTAGTCCAGAAAAAGTTTTTGATATTAGAAGAAAGATCTAAAACCATTAGGTCCTGTAATAAATTAGCACTGCTATTATATTTTAAAATTATAAAAAAATTTTAAACTATGTTTTAAGTCTTGTTAAAGGTTCTTGTATAACCCTGAATTCATAGTGAAGCTCGATTGCGATTTAGCCGCGATATCGTAGCGATTTTCATTCATAGTGCAAAGCGATTTCATTTCAAAAATTTTTATCAGTCAAATTATTATTGTTATACAAAATCATCATGAAAAGGAACGAAATTTTTTAATTTTATGAGAATGATCAAAGTATTTATTAATTCTATTTTATCTTTAATTCTATATTTTATAGGGGAAATTATAATTTCATTCTAAAACATGTAAAATTATTTTATACATAAAAGCCACAAATTTTATTAATCCTACAACCATTGAAGAAAACCTCATGGTTTATCTTAGGTAATAATAAAGTATTTTATTATTTAAATAAATTTTTAATCTAAGTATTTAACTACTGTAGATATCCTACTTTAACCTATTCCTTCAAAATGGAGGTTTCAACTATCTTAAAAATTATTAGAATAACATGCCTAGCTATATGGCAAACCTTATTTAGTATTCACATGCCACCACTTACTCTAACTGACTTTGTGAGATTAGCTATAATAGTGTATATTATAATATATATTATTGCTTAAAAGGAGTTTGAAATTAAGTGGAAATAACCTAACTGTGTTGGTAGCATTTAGTGTTGTTAAACGGCTCGATTTGAGACGATTTTTAAAAACGGCCAACTCAATATTTTAGCCAGAAAAATATTGTATAAGCCTCGAGATTTCGCTAATAGATGTAAAAACCTTTGTATCGCCTATGAGCAAAATCTTAAGGCTTGCATAATATTTTTCCTAATAAAATATTGAGTTAGCCGTTTTTAAAAATCGGTTCAAATTGAGGCGGTTAACAACACTAGTTGGCAATATCTATATATTGTAAAAATGTCATCTAATAATTCAAGTCCATTTCAAATTCCAGGTGACCTTGGTAACAATGAACCAAAGCAAATCAAATTAAACAATTAGTTACATGAAAAAGATATCCATAGAAGGCTAAGATTATTTCTTAAATCGTGGTATAGATATCGAGACTGGTTGGAGTACAATGTAGAAGCTGAAGCTGCTTTTTAATTTCCATGTAGGAAATGCTTGTGTATCCCAAGTGATGAATTTGGACAAAAAGGACAGAAATTGGAAAAATGCATTAGCTGAAAATAATGAATGGATTGCTAAAACATGAAAGCTCAAAAGCTCATTTAAATTCAATAACAATCTGGCATGATAAAAATCTAAATATAAATAAGGATACTGAGATAGCAACAATTTTGGTAAACCAACAAATTAACCGAAATCGTTATTATCTTAAATTAATATTTGATGCTATTTCTTAGCATACATGAGCTACATTTTCATGGGACTAGTTCAACAAAAATTACAGATGCTGTAAATGATGAAAACATGATTTATTCTTCTAGACTATTTATAGCAATGCTTTCATACACCATCTAAAAAGATCCAGAATTATAAATTATATAAAATTATGGAATTTATACCTAAAAATTCCCAATATACTTCACCCCAGATTAAAAACGCAGTAATATCTATTGTGGCAGATATGGTACTTGAATATATTTAGGATAAACATAACAAAAGTGAGATGCATTTTTTTGTCTTACGGCTGATGAGATAAAAGATGCATTCTGTTGTGAAAACCTGAGCATAATTATTCGCTAAATTTTTTTTTGAGGAGTCCAAGAAAATTTTATAGGAATTATTAATTTACAGTGTCATTTTGCTGAAATCATTACTGATTGCATTTTAAAGCAACTTATTAATTCAAAGAATATAATATGCCAGGTATATGATGGTGCAATGCAAACGTTATGTCTGGCCGAAATGAAGGAGTACCAACCCTACTTCAAAAAACAAATTAATAAAAAGTTTCTTTTATACATTGCCACAACCACAAGTTGCATCGTGTGGTTCAAGATTGTATCATTTCTAATTTTTTTAAATTTATCCAACGCATTGTATAATTTTTTTAGGCATTTTAACGTATCCTGTAAATATACAGGCCATACTCTTAAGAGATTTAGTCCAGAGGTTGACTGGTCATTTAGAAACATCTCGCATCATTTATGATAATTTTGAGGCTATTTGTGAAGTATTATTTAACTTTCTAATAGAACTCTTATTCAGAGGTTTCTATTCATGATTCAGTCGAAGCCTCTGGTCTTTTATCTCAATGCGTTAATATAAATTAAGTTATATTAGCCATTATAATTTATGAGATACTAATTATTATATTTAGTGTATATTATACATATAAGAAAATAAAGAAAAGTATATTAATATAATGTAAAAACAAAACTAATCTTTATTGTTTCTTTATTGTTTATAATTATTATCCAAAAAATTAAAAAGATGTAAAACAAATATTAATAATCATTTCTTTACCATCATTATAAAATTATAAAAAATCTGGCATGATAATGATGAAGGAATGCTCTCCCTTTCCTCTTTCTTCTTTCTATTCAACATCACATATATCAGCCAGTGGCGTCATAAGAGGGGGTAGCGCAGGGGCTCGAGCCCCCTAAGAAATATGATCTACTGAAGCAAAAAAAAAAATTTAATGGAATCTTAACCCCTTGAACTAAAAATAAATTTTTTTGATCGCCCCTTGAACGATTTCTTTTATAATTCTATTAAGTTATATATAGATTTAATTTTATTATTTAAAAATTAATAAGAGTGTCTAAATATTTATTATATGAATACTATTTTAAATATTAAATCAGATTAATACATATAAATTATATTTTCACTATGTCAGCTTGCAATCAAATTTTGTTTTAAAAATAGAATATCAATATCACTCACTAAATATTAATTTAGCATTTACAGTTGAAGCTTAATTAACTATTATTATTTAAATTACTATTTAAATTATTATATAACCCTTATTAAATAAATATAATCATTTATTAATTGAAAACTAAAAAAATTGATATTGTAATTAGCCGAGTTTAAAATGACTAATCAACTGTATAAATTTTATTATCATATCTATTCCTAAAAATATTTTCAAGGTCCAAATAAGTATAAGAGATTTCTTTATAAAAAGTAAGTAATTAGACATATAGTTTATGATGCTTTATTTACAGTTGTTTATAAAATATTAGATAAAATGTCACTTTTATACACATATTTGACAGTTATATAATATATTACAGTTAATATTTTAATGAATTTTATATAAATTCTTTTGATAATAAATATAGTAACGATTTAACGCCATCTATTTAGTTATGAATAGTTTAAAAAATTAAACATTTTTTTATTCATCCTACATAGATGTAATAAATTTGATATCTTTTCTTCTCTTTTTTTTACTGTTTTTAGGAAAGCTATTTATTTTTTTCTTTTTCGAAAAACAGTTTTGAGTTAAATTTTTATATATTCTTGATTTTACTACAAACTACTATTATTTTAAGATATAATATATCAACTAGAGGTGGTGCGACAATATATAAAATCTTTTCTTTCAAACATTTCATTCTGGTCTTTATTTTATAGTTAGAAAATATTTCGTTTCTAATATGGCATCCTTGCCGTGTATATACCCCCAGGCTTCTATATTTGCATAATTATTCTTCCAAAGATTTTTATTGTTTTTATTTTATCAATTTATCCAACATATTAAAATCTGATATTAGTTTACATCGTAAGTGTCATGGCTATTACTGCAAATTAACCAGCATCTATTATTTGTGTTGCTATGTAATTTAAGATTATTACTACAGCTGCTGAGAGCATATGATAGCATATTTTAGATAAATAATAATGGTCAACTGTACTCGTTTATATATCATTAAAAATGAAAGATAATCTTTTAGAATTTTAATATCTCACAATAATTTTCTCTATTACTTATCTAGCATTCATCATGTCATCTAAAAGGAAGCTCTAATCACCAATATAGTTTTATGATTAGGATTGGTCGTTAATATTCTCTTCTTCAAAAATTGTTGATTTGGTTTAGGCCTATAAATTTTTCCTCATTAGTCCATTCTATAAAACATTGTCTATAATGGTAACGAGAGTTATATTAGTTTGATAACATTTTGTGAATGTAAGTTGCTAAGAATTATATTATTGTATTATGTGCTTCTTAAAAACCATTATCAATTGAAGCATATGTATGAATTAATTAAGAATTTTTATCACTTGTAATTCATTAGGCGCAAATTTTTTTTA